ACGCGATCGATAATACGTCGGGTCAACTCGAAGTCGCACTCTGCGATATCACCTACCTACCTCAATGGGCTAACATCAACGTCAGCAACAATAAGCTGCTCGTAAGTGGAGTTCGCAGCCAGATAACTGACGGCTACTACAGCGTGTGCTCTCTAAGCGATGAGGTCTTCAAACCCCTGGGAGCCGAACTCAAGATGAACGACTCAAACGGTACAGTGGTGTTAATCAACAACGGAAGAAACTCCTTGAGGCTCGGCCGACCATTGGCGAGGACACTAGGTATGCCGCCTGGCGAGATAAAACCAACAACTACCGTCACAGATGCGAAGTTACCCGACCTAGTACCGTGCCGAGGCTGTACATTCATCACCGGCCAGGTGAGCCTGGCGTACAACATTCAAGGGGTCACCCTTCCACTTTACTGAGAGCAGTGCCAGTTAAAGCGGAGAAATACAGCGGCGGTAGAACCGAGTCGTTTTCACCGCTGGCAGTATAAGAGGCTGGCTCAGGGCAACATACCTGAGCTGATAATATCGGTGTTAGATATAAATCATAATCCCGTGAATATAGGATACCTCAGCTTAGCAGCTTCACATAAAATGACCAGCGCACAAGGGCCGGGGTGAAAAATGCATCAATATGGGGATCTCCGACCTCGGGGACACACGCGGATTCGGCGCTCGGAGTAGATGGTAAATTATGCGCCTTGCAACTGAAAAACAACATTTACAAAGCGGCGTTGAAGTCCCCTCGGTGGAGCCCTAGGTGATATAGTAGATACCACAAAGGCGACAGTCAACTTTTCGGTACACCCTAGTCACCATCGGGGATGATAAATGGATAATATACCCATCGTTCGGGGGCAAACTGTTCGACTTAGGCGATGTTGAGAGCACTACCGTCGCCCGAAACAAGCCATATACGCTCGTCTTCACCGAAGATGACAAGTGGGTGTTGTTACCCGATAAAGACGACTGGTTTCTCAATATTAGGCTCGGCTCCCCCTACATGTTCACGGATAACAAAGACAACCACCTAAACAAAGTCGTGAACAAGCGGAACCCTACTTTCGTGAAACTACGTCCGACTCAGAGGCGTGGCGTAGTCATCAGCCCAGTCGCCAGTATGGCAGCCCACATGCTCTCGGGTAAACCCGGGATACAAAACGTGGTATTGCAGTTGGTGTCTGAATTCGAAGGCGTGGTCAACATCCTGGAGAGTCTATCAGTGAACTCAACATTGATCATCAAAGTCTATCTAGGGGAATCATCACACGGTGATGTCGAGATCGTGGAGGGATAAAACTTCGAGGTGGTGAAAGCGGCGCCAGTATCGCGTTTGCACAGTTTACGTCACGGGTGGGTGTCGGCTCCAACACCAGTCTTCAGGGTGTCACCGTGATGCGTGGAAAACCGCGATATCACTAACCAAGATCTTCCTACCGACAACATACACTTCATGGGGTGAAGTTCCCCTGAACTATTATCAAAAACCAGTTGGAAATTATATCGTAATAATATTATAGCAATGGCCAGTCATCACCCCAACACTACGGCTTAGCGACCTAGGGGACATGGAGGGATTCGATCAGCCAGGTGAGGGAAAGGCGCCTTGTATGCGTCCTACACTTCAAAGATAGCGAGTATAGGCGGTGGCAATAGCCGATCATCTACCCAAACCCACACTCGGGGGTCTAGGAGACACGGAGGGATTCGATCAGCCTGGTGAGGAAGACACCTTATACATCCTGCACTTCAAAGACAATGTGTATAGGCGGGTGTCGTTATCAGATTTTAAAGAGCCTGAATGGTTAGTCAACTTAACCCTCACCGCACCTTATATCTCCTTGAAACAAAGTGGTGATATCTCCGAGATTAAGAACACCGGCATAATGATAGGATCGTTCGTTCCGAAATCTAGGGTACAAGTCATACCAATACCAGGCCTCACAGGCACCATGTTAGTTTCCAGTGGGAAGGTGAAGACAAAGATCAAATTACTCAAGTACCACGAGCATACTATATCTGTCGTGGGACAATTCACATTCATCATAGACGTCTATCTCGGAGATATAAGTTCGACTAGTAATTATATTTACATTATGGACGATATGATGATAGGTTGGGAAGCCAGGTGTAATGACCAACGTTGCCGTATTATTAAGGTATCAGGAAACGAACCTTTAGCAAGCCTTGATGGGGTTCGTCTCCTTAATGGAAGTAGAGTTAAGACCCCGCATTTTTACGTGCAAATTAATCTAAGTATTATCAGCTTTAAGTACATTAATCGAAGGTTAAATGAAACCCAATTAAAATATCTTTTGTAATATATATTATAGGATGGGTCTGTACCCAGTCGTAGAGGAAGTAGTGAAGACCCTGGAAACTGTAGACGGGTTCCGCTTGAGACAGTTATGTGATGTAAAACGCCAACTAGAACAAGACCGCGACACGCGTAAAGCACTATGTAAAGTACCATAGAGCTTTCAATATCGTGGACGGGGCTGATACTGCCCTTATGACAACCAGCATGGGGCTAGGGGCGGCAGGTGTTGGGTTGTTAGCTACCATCGTGGCTACACCCGTAGTGCAAGGCATTGAAATAACAGCTGGGGTGGAAGGGGTGTTAGGGTTGGTGCTTAAGTTTGCATCCCGCAGACTGCATCGTAAGGCATTGAAACACGACGAGATCAGGGTTCTGGCGGAAGCAAAGCAGAACACGGTAAGTGAGCGTATATCCACGGCACTCACTGACAGTAAGATCTCCGAGGAGGAGTTTCGTTCAATCCTCTCTGAACTCACAAAATATAACAAAATGAAACAAGAGATTCGTTCAAAGTCTCGTAAGTCTGCTATCAGTGAGGAGGAGAAAAAAAAGTACATAGAACAAGGGGTGAAAAAAGCCCAGCAAGCCTTTATTACAAACACCAAAGAGATCATAGGCGATTCACATTAAACTGTTTCATCGAGGTAAACGTGGCATAGCGGCACGTGGAGCAATCCTGGGATAGACCGGTTAAACCGACACACTTCAACCATGTCCCCGGTAGTTGAGTGGTGCGAACATGTGGAGTTCGCATCCCGCTGACGTCCCAAACTTTTTTATAGTAGGGGGTAATGATAGCTGGATCAAGGGTCCGACCAAAGCCATATTTGGAAAATAAGGCTTTGCAGAGGCTTTTGTTGGACTTGGTCCAAAACCCCCATTCCCTATACTACTTCTTTGAAATGCTTAACTCAGGAAGATGAACGTAGGCGACAAGGGTTCTTCTTTTTATGACATCATATTTTATGAAACGATAGGAAAAATTGCACTTTCCATTTGAGGCTCAGAGTTAAGGTACTTTTAAATGTTTATTAATCATTTTGATGTCTTGGTGATGTAACTGATAAAATTTTATTATTTGAATACCAATTGTGCTACTTGTGATCAAATTTTCACAAAGAATATTAAATTTTCAGTTACAAGTAAATAATAATTATCAAGAGTATCAAACTAAACAATAATGATCGAGAATATCAAACTAATGCTGTCTTGGCTTCTCACAGCTCAGTGATCAGTGTTTTTGGTCTGTGATGGTGAATCTCGGCGAAAAATAGATCAGCCAGATCATTGCATGTACATATTGTAAAGGTTGACTGTGTAAACATGATTTGGTTCCGAGTAGTAAATGTTCCAGTTCGGAATAAATGCCGTGAAATAGAGAATGGATGACACGAATATAAATTCCGCACATACGGCAAATATTCCATCGAACAGGAACACATACTGTAGGCCTAACCTATTCCAATCATTATTGAATACAAAATAACCTGTCAACATCTGGGATTTCTCAAGCCCGAAATACATGTGAATCATATTTTAGATCTAGGTGAAAATCAAATTAACGAGTGGCCGTTTGCCACACACAAAGGGAGGTGCAATAGGCCGATTATGGAGGCAGAGGAAAACACTGCTTCTTGTACTATGTATTGGACGAGATCAAGGAGAAGTCTGCTCCAATGAAGCTTGTGATAACTAGTGACAAGAAATTAGCAACCATCAGAATGTGCCATATTGATCACTGTACGTTTACCAAAACTGTAGATCAAATTAAAATACAATTATATTTGAACAATTCTTCAGTATTGTCCGGATTTCGATCAGGACCCTTATCACCCACATGTAGATATTATACATACATCCTTGAAATAATAATTTGAAATAGATGCACAGATTTTTAAAGAAAGGTGAACCATATCCTTAAGGCAGTTTAGGCTGCCCTATTACACAACCACCGATTTATATGATGTTAAACAAATTTAAGGTTTATCTTGCTATTAGGTCGTACCTAAATGCCACTAAGTGAATGCATATTATCAAATATTGTGATGGTGTTTATTTGGATTTTTTAAAATAGACATTATTTAGTGCTATTTTGTATAGCCATAACAAGAGATGAAACCAATTCCCACAAAAAAAGACAAATGATGCCACTGATGACAATACTGTATTGAGTCCTTTTATAGGAACTTTCACACATGATAATTGCTTCTTGATAGCCACAAGATTTGAATCTTTTCTTCCTTTCCTTTCCCCCCCAAAAAAACCACGCCCCAATCTTTAAGACCACCCCAACAAACAAAACCCTCTTTTAGACACTTTAGGATGTGTGTGAAAGTTCCTATTTACCCAGAATAAATTCTGTGTGTGCGGAACGAAATAATTGTTCTATTACAGGGACAAATATTGGAATGAAAGGTTCCAACTTTACTATGGGGGAACCAAATCTTTTTTACAGACTGTTCCCAACAATACTAAAAGCATCTCCAAGTGTTTAGGGAGTCTGGTATTCTTAACCCTGTTCAAGTGGCTGTCTTAGTTAATGTTTTAAACTCTTTAAAGGGACATTTATCAAGGTGAGAAACACTTCAATGACACCATTTATGTCAATCTACATACATTTTTGAAAATGTCTTCATAATGAATTCTGCATGTGTTATTTTGTTTCAAATCAACAGAAAGTCCACCTTTTTCAACGTGTTGACAAAGAGTCAAGCTACAGCAGAGAATTTTCCCTTCTGTACCATAGATCCGAATGAAAGTAAGTTGAGACATTTTTTATAGTTTGGATATATAAATAAAATCACAATAGACAGGAGACTGTCAAAACTGGACTGGCCAGTTTTGTATTATCAGGTTTGCAATACAAAAAGAATACAAACCTGGAAATGTGTTATGATCAACAATGAAATGTTGTCTGTCTGTTCATTGTCTATGTCTTCAATGTTCTGTCAAAATATGCCTAAAACATTACTGAAATCTAATCATGTGTATTTCAGTACTATTTGTTAGTTATTCATAAATCTTGTTTGTTTTTTTCCTGAATTCAGAATTCATTGGTCAGTATTTTCACCTGAAGACTTACCATCCTAACAGGGGAATTAGCATTATTGTGAACCACAGAATGCCTAAGGTGGCCATAAAATTACAATATAGACAGACGTCTTGATAAGCAATGGGGCTAAAAATTAACTGCTCTCTCGAAATATTATTTATTGTTTATATTTCCCTGTCATGCATTCTTCACAACACTCCCGTAGCCATGTCACATTTTTTTATAGTAACAAAACCAATACATCTGGGATATAGTTTAGATTTTATCACCAAGAAATCCCCTGAACAGATGCGTATTAAGCAATGTCTCATTGACAGCCATTGGCGAATCATACATTTAGGTGCTATATCATAAGGGCATATTGCTTATATTTAATATTTTAATTTTGATAATTATTATGTCACTAAATCTAGACCAAAATTTATGAAATGAATGTATTTATTCGTATTTCAATATTTTCATGAAACATATGGGTAGGTATTTTTGTGGTTGGAATATCACATTCTCAGTTCCTAAATCACAACAGTTTGAATGTAGAAACACAGGGGCTTGTAACACTAAAAACTGCCATCAAGGTATAGATACTGTCACTGACGGGGTCTTAGTACTATATAAAAGGAAATGGGTTATTACCACCTCTGTAATCCACAGGTCTTCTATACCATGATCACCATGAATGGCAAAAGTCGCAACTGCATTGGCACACATGTTAGTAGTTAAGGTGCAAATTGGCAACACTCAAAAAATTCTGTCTGAAGCACTGATATCACCTGCAACTTACACCCAGGTGAAATGGTCCATGTGGGTTGTTGTTTATGTGTTATGTTCTTATGAATCATTGGATTGTGCAGTAACTAATCAGGGGCCGTATTCATCAACATTCTTAGAGTGCTTAAGAATTCTTAACTATTAGAATTTCTAAGAATTATTTAGGTTTCACGCTTAACTGTAAGAAATTTCTTAAGTCATATTTATAAAACCTCTTATTCTTAGTTTTACTCTTAAAGTCACCAAAAAGTTAGGAGTCCTCACATAGCTCTCTCAGACACTCAACAAAATGGCCACCAATCAATGCCGACTCAGAGTTTTCACCCAAGAAAGGATGTATATTCGACGTATACTGACGATGAACTAGTCACAAGATTCGTCTAGACAGTGGTGGCATTCGTTCCATCACAGATCTCATGCAGAACGAATTAACCTCCCCAACAAAAAGAAATTTCTCGGTAGATGCCGACATCAAGGTAGCCATTACTCTTCGCTACCTTGCTACGGGAAAAATGCAAATGTGCAATGGTGAAGACTTCAGTATCAGTCAGCCTAGCATAAGAAAAATCATCCCTGACACCATCAGCGCCTTATGTCAGCCTGCTCTGATTAGAAGGTTCATCAAAATGCCCACACAGCGATCGGACATGCGAAGAAGACACCAAGGCCAGTTCCGAGCTATCGCTGGCTTTCCTGGTGTTGTTGGAGTTATTGATGGCACCCACATTTGTGTAATAGCTCCAAGTGAGCACGAAGTTGAATATGTAAACAGAAAAAACTTTCGCTCACTCAATGTGCAACTCATATTCGATTCCGAGCAAAGGATATGTGATGTCGTTGCAAAATGGCCAATGGTGACACACGACGCACGAATCTTGAATGAAAGTGGTATGCAAGTACTTTTTGAGATGGGAATAATGCGTCATGGATGTCACCTGTTGGGAGACCGTGCTTCATGTCAGAGGTGGCTGCTGACACCCTTCATCCAACCGCAAACTGGCCAACAGGCAAGATATAACAGGTAAATAAGACCTAATTTGTTGACACTACAATTACTCTACTTTACTCGAGTGTAGCTTCCCTTGGGTGATAGGAAAATCGGTTCCGAGTATAGTTTGAAATGAGACAGACAACTAATTATAGTTATTAAACATTCCTTATACGTGCTGTAGAATTCAATATTTTTATACAGTTGATTATGATGATATCATCTAAAATCATTTTGATGAATGCTGCTCATTTGTTACTGACATTGAATTTATTACTGTGCTTCATTGACCAGCATATTGATGACAGTTTAATTTCATAAAATCATGTACCCCGGTAGACATATTATGAAATATCCCAAAACTCAATCCTTAAAATTTTGATTATGCATTACAGAAGTCACAAGGCTACAAGGTGTGTGGTGGAGAGAGGAATTGGACAGCTGGCTGTGATTCCATGTCCTACATGGGGAATTCCGCCTCAGACCACAAAATATATCAAAGGTAATAAATATTTTTTAAGTTGGAAAAAATAATAATAGTAGTCCATCCTTTAAACATAATTTAAACAATAAATTTATGTAATTAGGGTTAAGTGATGTATGATAATTATAATTAGACAGACAGACAGACAGATATATTCAATAAAGAGGACTGGGCATACTTTCTTGGTGATATCATATAATAAGTGAGTGAGAATATAGCTGCAGAGCAGGCACAGGTATGCAAATTTGTAATAAATATCATATGGACAACAGAATGCATTTATAAATTGTTGGTTTTAAATGATGAGCCTTACTGTGTACAAGTAATAACTGAAGGGCTAATGCTTTGGGTTAATAGTATTGGGTCAAAGTTTCCATACTTTATATAAATACAGACATCTACTATGCAGGGTAGAGACAATACAGTGTACCAGTAATAACTGCAAGGCTAAGTGATTTTGGATTAATAGCGTTGGCACTCAGTTTCCATACATTGTATAAACACATACATATACTATGCAGGATAGAGACAATACAGTGTACCAGTAATAACTGCAAGGCTAAGTGGTTATGGATTAATAGCGTTGGCACTCAGTTTCCATACATTGTATAAACACATACGTATACTATGCAGGATAGAGACAATACAGTGTACCAGTAATAACTGCAAGACTAGGTGGTTATGGATTAATAGTGTTGGCACTCAGTTTCCATACATTGTATAAACACATACGTATACTATGCAGGACAGAGACAATACAGTGTACCAGTAATAACTGCAAGGCTAAGTGGTTATGGATTAATAGTGTTGGCACTCAGTTTCCATACATTGTATAAACACATACGTATACTATGCAGGACAGAGACAATACAGTGTACCAGTAATAACTGCAAGGCTAAGTGGTTATGGATTAATAGTGTTGGCACTCAGTTTCCATACATTGTATAAACACATACGTATACTATGCAGGATAGAGACAATACAGTGTACCAGTAATAACTGCAAGGCTAAGTGGTTATGGATTAATAGCGTTGGCACTCAGTTTCCATACATTGTATAAACACATATGTATACTATGCAGGATAGAGACAATACAGTGTACCAGTAATAACTGCAAGGCTAAGTGGTTATGGATTAATAGTGTTGGCTCTCAGTTTCCATACATTGTATAAACACATACATACACTATGCAGGATAGAGACAATACAGTGTACCAGTAATAACTGCAAGGCTAAGTGGTTATGGATTATTATAGCTAAAATACATGGATTTATCATGAAACGGCCCTCCCATTATCAGAAATTTGCGGTCCGCTGCAAATGATATTGGACCGCTCAACCTTAATGACGGGCCACTATCAGTTCTGTTGTCAAGTGACGTCATCGTGGGTGCGTGGGCTTACGGTTCATTCGACATTAATTGGCTTTCGACTGGCAGATATTCTGGGTCAAACAAGTCAAAGCAACCCGAATTCCCGCTTTAAATAGCGGTAATATTGGCTTTCTTGTTGGTGCTAACCTTAACATTTGCACTATTAAGACTGTTGATGGACCAAAACCGAACACTGACATAGTTTGATATGTTGCAGGCTATGGTTTTGTCAAAGGCCAAGGTCGAATATCGTCACTTTTCTCTTGTGACGTCACTTGAATTGTTCGATGACGTAATTGCATTCGGGCAGTCAACCCCATCAGAAGTTGATTTGGGTAAACTTACAGTCAAATTCCTTCATTGTTTCCTTTTTCTTTTCAACACAAATTCCATGTATTTTAGCAATAATAACGGTAATGCTATTTTTGAGGGCATTATCATTTGCAGAAGCCCTCGGTCTTTTTCAACTGCCCTCCTTCGTCGGGCAGTTAATGGAAGACCTCGGGCTTCTGCAAATGATAATGCCCTCAAAAATAGCATTACCCTTATAATAGTGTTGGCTCTCAGTTTCCATACATTGTATAAACACATACATATACTATGCAGGATAGAGACAATACAGTGTACCAGTAATAACTGCAAGACTAGGTGGTTATGGATTAATAGTGTTGGCTATTATATAATTATAATTATATATTCCAGTCATTCACCTGCCTGTTGTCTCAAAGAGATGATAAGTCATGATTTTGACAGTGATTCATATCAATTCAATAAGTCAGCAAGACTTTTGTGTGAGACTTATTTGTATTTTCTTCTTACTTGACTCATAGGTTGTACTTGTCTGTGCAATGTTGCACAACAGCTGCAAGGAGAGAAACATTGGCCTCACTCCAGGAGTTAATATGCCCCCAAATCAAGCTGTCGTGAACCCACCTGGGGCTGGTGGGGTAGCCTAGTGGTTAAAGCGTTGTCAATCTTCACTTCTAGCACAGGTAATATAGTTAGTAGCAGATAATGGAAAAGCCATTAATTTCTTTTTATCTGATAGTAACAATATAAATGCACTTAATCTATCATGAGGATCGTTTTGTTCCATGATTATATATCTAAAGTATGTACAGTCAAATCCCGATGAGTCGAATATCTGGGGACCAAGTAATAAATTCGACTTATCGATGTATTCGAGACATAGGTATGTCTATGAGGGTAGAAAACAAGATGATCCAGTCCTAATTCCTCCGCCTAAGCATTTGTTTATCTAATGATTTCCCTATCACTAATAGGGGCACCTTATCAGTTCCAGTCTGATTAGCACAGACAATGATTTCCGTAAAATCACTAATCTGCCTTTTGAACTCGCCCGTCAAAGGTGGAAAGGTGTGAGCCGTGCTGGTTTGTTAATTGGATCAGTTTGCTACACCAATCAACTTCTCATTGACTGACTTCGGCTTATGTATACAAGATTGCTGTTGTTTGAATCTCATGGGAGCAAATTTTCTACTCGAGTCATCGTGTGTATTTATGAGTCGAATTCGTGTAACCGGTATTCAAATGATGACAACTATAACAGGGAATGGTCGGGACCAACAGGTACTTCGAGTTATGCATAATATTCGAGACACCGGCATTCGACTCATCGGGATTTGACTGTAGTTTATAAATCACAATAACAAATCACAAAGTCTGTTGTTGGGTATATAGTGATACATATTATTTATTTTAAAAACCATTCAACATATGGAGAATTTATGTTTGTTTAATAAATACTATCAATAGACAAGCATGCATATACAATTTCACATCCAACATATGAAGTTCATGTTCATTTCTGATTTTTTTTGTTTTCAGAGTGTAGTATTCCATTTGAGCCTCCAGCACTTGCACTTCCAGCTGCTGTTTCCTGGTCACATAGTCCACACATAGTCCAGTTGTGGTGGTGGCGATGGTTGTATTGGTGGCACAGCTTACGGGGAGTAATGATGGAATGTCCTGCTGTCCACACTTTCCTGCAAGGGCTCATCATTGTCCAGTGAACTTGAAAAATATAATTTGATAATTAACTGATTGTGGATCTGGCATTAACTTTACATACAATTTCAAATGTGCAAATATATCTTGTTCACTAACAGACAAACTTATTATCAATATCAATTCTTCCATTTACTGTTATATATTTAAGCTATCAATCTTATTCTATGTTTCCAGCATTACATAATTGCTGGATAAAAGGAATGAATATTGATTGTGAAATGGTTTTGAAGTAATTATCATTTGTAGATAAATATATTACATAATGCATAATTTAAATTATTAGCTTACAAAGTGTTCCAGCCCATTAGGGCGGTGGGGCAGCCTCATGGTTAAAGCGTTCGCTCGTCACGCCGAAGACCCGGGTTCGATTCCCCACATGGGCACAATGTGTGCAGCCCATTTCTGGTGTTCTCCGCCGTGATATTGCTGAAATATTGCTAAAAGCGGTGTAAAACTAAAGTCACTCACTCACTCCAGCCCATGTCTATTTATCCAATTATTACAATTAAACAGTCACTTTGAGGCTGTCATTTTATTCTTGTACATATTCTTGTAATAGGATACTACCGGTAACTGATTCATTTTGCATTCTAATTCAACTTTATATAGTATGTAACACGAGTTCTGATTGGTCAGTGCTATAAATTTCCGACCGTATAATCAGCATATACGGTCACAATTTGAAAACTGATTCACCAAAACCTTTGAATGTATCCCTACACTATTGGGGTAACGCTATTTTTTCAGGGCATTGTCATTTGCAGAAGCCCTACGTCAATTAACTCCCCTATCCCGCTAAAATGGATGAAATTTGTGTTTTTTTTTGTTTTTATTCATTCAAGTCAAAGGCCCCATTCCCATAGGACGTACATTAACCGCACAAACACATTTTGCTATACCTCAATATATAAATGATAAATAAATTTCACAAAGGTATTACTATAGTAATTCACAATGCATGATAATAACATTATTGGTGTACCGAAGGGTAAAGTTTAAATGCTAGAAATACATACATACTTAAATTTAGCAGTGTTTGAGGACATGTGGAATTAATAAGGTTTACAAAATGCTGCAACAGAAGGATGTTCATGGTATGCAGGGTGAATATATGATTTTTGTAGATTTGAAAAGGCTTTGCATACAAGTAAGAAATGGAATTCATTTTCAACTACATCTATTCCGTAGCGGTTACAATGTGTACATAATCTGCTTTCCTCATCTATTCCGAGTCTTTGTCCAAGTTCAATCCTTAAGTTGTGGCATCCGAATCTAAATCTTGATAAAGCTTGACTGTATATTCTTAAGTTGATATGAGTTAGATATTGTTCGACATTCAAAACTGACTTGCATGTAGAATATGAAGATAGTTTAGACTTGTTTTTAATGTCTGCTTGCCATTGTTGAATACCTATGTCGATGATACGTTGTTTTATTTCTAATAGAAAGAACATTCTATTGCATGATCGATGTGTATCCAAATCCATATTGAAATCAAATCTGTTTAACTTTTGAAGCCCATGATGTACGATTTACACTGTCCAATCCATATAACATCATATAGGTCTGCTTCGGGAGTCGCCGATTTTCCATCAAAAGAAGTTTGGTCCAGTATGTGAGCAACTTCATTACATGTGTGATGAAAATAGTGTTTTTTCTACAGTCTCCAAGAACAGCAGCATTGCATGCATTTTTAGGTACATATATAATTTTCTTGAAATATTCAGCTGAACATTTTCAATGCGCTGAACATGTTGAAAAGCCCAGATATCATCTCCGTATGTCAAGATTGGTAAAACCATTCTGCCCAATAAGTTTGCAGCTACAGTCCACAACACATATAATGTAGTTTGTAAATTACCTGACACACTTTCTCGGCTTGTTGATCTAAAGTTGTTGTTGCTCGAGGCAATAAGGCTTTGGGTGTAAAGATCAGTCCGAGGTATTTATTGTATGGCATGACCTTAATCTGCGATCCTTTATAAAACCACCTTTCGTAGTTGCGCAGGTATCGTCCGTTTTGAAAAACTACAATCTGCTATTTTGTTTGGTTTAGAGCGAGACCCCATTTGTCGCAAAAGGTACTAAGAACATCAATATGTTTTTGTAGTCTCCCTACTGTATCTGTTGAGTTAGCCACGTCATCCGCATATAAGAGAGAACACACATTTGGAGCATCTTCCGAAATATAAATACCTTTACAATCTGATGTCATCATTTCTGTTGTAAGTTCATTGATATATAAAGTAGCGGGCTTAACATACATCCCTGTCTTGTTCCTTGAAAACACTGGAAGAATTCTAATAAACCATTGGAAGTTCTGACACATGACTTTAATTTGGAATACATATTTTGCAGGACTGTCAGAATATTGCCATGCATGTTATAATTAATGAGTTGATACCAAAGATGTGAATGATTTACGTTGTCGAAGGCTTTCGAAAAGTCTAGGAAAAAGCAATAGAAACGGCCACCCAATTTTGGGAGATACTTTCTGATCATTTCATGCAAAGTGAACATGTTGTCCACCGTTGTGTATCCCTTTCTAAATCCGGCTTGGTTTTCATATATAATACTATTATCAGATGCCCATTGCTGTAATCTTTGATTTAATATTTTTGTGAAAACTTTCCCAATGACTGATAAAAGTGAAATCCCTCTGTAGTTATTCACATCATTTTTGTGATCTGCCCTTATGGAGGGGACATATTATGGCTCGATACCACTCGTCAGGGAAATTTCCTGATTCAAGAATCTTGTTGAAGAGTCGTAAAAGTACAGGCGATATCACATCAGAGGAGTGTCTCAGTATTTCTGAAGGTATACCGTCACATCCAGGCGACTTGTTCTGCTTTCACTAATTGTTCTTGTTACCTCAGTTAAGGTATAGCTGCATTAACTCATTAAGGCCGAGAGACGCATATATGGGGCAAATTAATCAGCTCCTCACAGCGAGTGACGTGTTTATAGGGCAGGTAATTAGCAGTTTCTCACAGCGAGAGCCACATACAGTCGTCAACAGAAAGCACCTCTTATTCAGCGAGAGACGCACATGTGTGTTGTGCTTTTAAAAATCGCACTGTACCTATTATTTCAACCAATTTAGCAGTACTGAGCAAATGTTAGCTTTTCTTACGAGAGATCCCACCTTTAGTATCAATCAAAAGAAGTATTTAAAGTGTTTTGATAACAATTGCTAATCATTATCATAGGCTTGTACAGCGTTTAGCAAATGAATGCATGTCGGCGAGAAAGGGGATTATGATGTTTTTACAGAGGTAAGTGCCTGGTACTCTTCCTTGGGAATGGGGGGGCGGTGGGGTAGCCTAGTGGTTAAAGCGTTGGCACGTCACGCCGAAGACCCGGGTTCGATTCCCCACATGGGCACAATGTGTTAAGCCCATTTCTGGTGTCCCCCGCCGTGATATTGCTGGAATATTGCTAAAAGCGGCGTAAAACTAAACTCAGTCAGCCTTGGGAAAGGATACTAAAATACTTCGTAGGCACCTTGATTGAATTAGATGTAATGGTTTAGAGGTTACTAAGAATTATATTTCCTTCAACTACCTAATAAATAGGAAACAATATACGAAATTTCAAGGACATACAAAGAATTCAAACACAATAGAATAGTTTGAATTTACTTTTTAGGCATCATTACGTTGTCATGTTTCATATACTGAAACATAATGTATAAACACAAGTAATTATACATCCAAGCTCGAATAGATTAAACATAATTGAACTTGCTAATTTGAAGTTTACTGAATTGTAACTAGTTGTTTTCCATAATCTAAAGTTCGTAATGTTACCTAAGCGAATATAAAGTGATAAGTCGCGCCTTTGCATCGAATACATATATACATGTCAGTGTTATTACAACAATGAAATCTTTTACTACGTTTGTTACAAAAGACAGTAAGTTGGTAATTCAAAACATTGTCACACATGGACAGAAGTAATATCATAAGTTATTACATGTAAGCCATACAAAGGTATTTCAAGCATTTTTGTTCAAGCTGTTGAAAGTTTCATGTTGATTTGAATTGTCAGTTTTCTATGCAATTTACATGAGCATTCTGTAAAACGTTTGTATTTGATCTGTGTAATAATCAAATCCGGTGCAATTATCACGTGTATCAATCAACTCAGTCTCTATTGATCCATCGTCAATAAAAGCTGGATAGTATATCAGTTACGGTATCGATACACATACGCGTATAATCATTCAAGCAGATTACAGTAATGAGATATTTGAACGCCTCTTTCGACCTTGAAATAACAGCCTCCGGTAGAATGCATATGTAGTTACGTCCTTGTTGAAAGGTTTGTCCCGTGACAAGTGTAAAATATACAGATGCGCTGTTATATCATTGGACATCTTGCTTTATGGAGTCACGCCCCTCTCTGTGTTGTATATACATGCATGCACATCTGTAATCTTATGAACCTCGTTTGCATTCAGTAAAGATATAGGCACGCCCACCTTCATAAATATTGGGGGTGGGGGTGTCAACTGCAAGTTTATACACTATAATAATTCAGGGTCTACTCCCATTTGCGAGAACTCCCAGTTGCGAGACTCCCAGTTGTGAGACAGTGGAGAAGGTAAGTAGCAAAGAAAACACACCTTACTCCCCTATCTGATAGAATGGATTAACCCCAGCTAATTAGGGATTAGCTATTTAACTGAATCTTGTGGAGGTAGCTTAAAAGATAAAGTTATTAACCTACTCAGGTAAATGGCCTTAAAAAATAAACACTTTGTGTAGGTAACTTCGTGATCATTTGAAAGAGAAATTAATTTACCTACTCAGATTTACATGCTTGAAAAATCTAGGAATAACTGTTGTAACTGTTGTTACAAGAACAAGCAGCGGCAGACTTGTGCCTATTGGAGATGTACAATACGAATGTGCAACGGCAAATACACCACAGTCGGCGACTATATTCGGAATGTGACTGATCCTCCAGGAGATGTCCAACGCCTCCGTTTTGTGAGGGAAATAGACAAACGACTACATGGACTCAAAGATCAACTTGCAGATGGAACGAAAAATCACATGCAGTATCTTGATGCAGTCGGCAAACTGCTGAAAATATTAAAAGTGTCAAAATCTCCAAATATGGACCCATGTAAAAAAGTGTTTTATAATGACACACAAACATCATAATAACGCAAATCATCAAAATGTGTGAATAAAAAATGATAATGAAGTATTTAATGAATTATTTCTTCTGTGTAAATATAATGGTATTCTTTTTCAGTATTTCAGTATTTAACTTGTTCTTTACTGAAAACAATAAATGCTCTTCAATGAACAATGTCTTCTGTGTCTCATTAATGAACTATGCCTCCTGCGGGTACTCTTCAGCAACAGGGCTGTTCCCACTTTCATCGTAGGGATTGGGAAGCACCACCTGTGTGCACTGAACCATTAATTAATGTGTCTCGCAACTGGGAGTTCTCGCAAATGGGAGGACACCATAATTCAGTATAGTGTCACCTCGTGAATTCTGTAATGCGTGTACTCTAGTTTGGATAGTCATTCGTATCAAGGTGAAGATTATATTTACATGTACAGCAAACCATTATGTTTTATGTACTAGTTGTGTGCATAAAATGTATATGAAAATAAATACTACCTCTACTCAGTGGTTGGATTTCAATCGCTTTGTTTTACTTATCGAAAAACACTAAAATGAGGACAAATAAACTCGCCAAAGTGACTATCTACTCCTATTTGTGTTATGTGTATATTTCATACATCGTTACCAGTGTGTATGTTTACAATACACAAACTGTTACATGATAGCTTGAGTTGATAAAGCCGAAACCCAGCATATCGACTGGTCAAGGATATAGCCAATAACCAATCTCTATCCAAGCTGCTGAGTGACCAAACGTGCTCTTCAGAAATTTCATTACGCCCCATCACCTGTCCTTTCCTCTGTGACAGGTATCTCATGATAATGATTGGTCGCAGATAACATATGACCAGCCACTATACTGAACAGTTGAGATACCAGTGTGTATGTTTACAAGACACAAACTGTTACATGATAGCTTGAGTTGATAAAGCCGAAACCCAGCATATCGACTGGTCAAGGATATAGCCAATAACCAATCTCTATCCAAGCTGCTGAGTGACCAAATGTGCTCTTCAGAAATTTTCACCATCATCACCTGTCCTTTCCTCTGTGACAGGTATCTCATGATACGATTGGTCGCAGATAACATATGATCAGCCACTCCATTGAACAGTTGAGATACCGAACGTTCTATTCGGGAAATTTGATGACGCCCTATCACGTGACTCTTTGTTTTATGTCTATGCAAGGAATATGTAGTATACATTTTGTATATGTATGTTTGTATGGTCACATATGTTTTCTGCATTAAATCTGTATGAAATAAAGTGCAATGCTCTGAATGTGCTTTGTGCTAGTCACAGACTAGTGTTATAGTACTTTCATTAAAATAATTCGTAAACACTAGAAATGTATCGGCAAAACCGCTATTTTCGTCGAAGATTATAAAGTATGAAAGTAAATTCTTCTTTACAGTATGTCATTGTCATAGATGTTCCTCACACAATGATATAAGAGAGAGAATTTGTTAACGTGTGTCTCATATGTTACATTCAAAGAATACATGTGTATGCATATTGTGATAAAATATAAATGTACAAGCCGACAAAAGGTCTACAAGAGAATTTTGCAATAAAATTACATAAAGCTTGCAATACACGACATGTATTCACACCTGATTTCTTTCAACATTTATCTTTACGACACAATTAAACAATCAGGACTTGTTTGTATGACTAGACAGTTTCCTGTGATCCCCGAAACCTGCCAGGGAAATCAGGTGTGACTAGCACTAATTAGTCTCGGCACAGAGAGTGGGCAATCAGGAGGGCTTCCAGGTGTTGAGTAGTGATGGGGCTCTCGGGCTTAATGAGTTAAGACAATGCGGTGTTCCATCTTCACAGTTCATACACTGGTCGTCGTGTAGGGATAAGAAATCATTCACTGTATCTTCCATTAATGTGTCTTTCTGATTGGTCAATGCTATATATTTCCGACCGTATAATCAACATATATATACGGTCGCAATTTGTAAACCGATTCACCAAAACCTTTGAATGTATCCCTACACTATTGGGGTAACGCTATTTTTCAGGGCATTGTCTTTTGCAGAAGCCCTACGTCAATTAACTCCCCTATCCCGCTAAAATGAATGGAATTTGTGTTCAGTAAGACAAAAGAGTATCTATGATTTAATTGTAAGTTCAAACAACTTACTCGCAACAGGCTGTTGACCCAAAACTGTTGGATCATGAAACAAGATTTATGACGTCATTATGGAGCGTGACGTCACCTGCTGTGATGTCACTTGACAACAGAACTGATAATGACCCGTAGGTGAGGAATCAGCGGGCCATTATCATTTGCAGCCGCCCGTCCATTTCTGATAACTAGAGGGCAGTTTCATGATAATTCTGTCCATTTTTAGCTGTAACACTTTGATTTATTCATCATTGTCAGATTTAGTCAGTGTGCACATGATAAACGTGTTGAAGTTTGAAAAGGGAACTACTTTTTCTGGCGTTGGTGTAAGTTCAAGGAGTGATATGATTAACCTTTGACCTAGAGGAACTTTGATCTGGTTTAAATAATGAATTTCTTTCTCGAGAAAACCGCGATAAAGCGAAGTTGAATTAGAATGGGGATAACTGTACTGTGTTTGGCCAATTTGGGACGATACCGAGGGTTATATAGCTGCAAATGTATCGTTGCGGCTATATAACCACCGGTATACGTCCCCAATTCGTCAAACACAGTACAGTTATCCCCCAATTATACTGACTGTATTTAGTGTGCACCACCTACCTAGTCATGTCAATAAACGAAGAAATGAAGTGTCCAAGCCATCACCTATACCAGAGATCGAGACATTGTCTTCTCCCAATATGGTCTGTATGGTATCTGCTACTGCAGAGAGAGAGAGATTGTCCTTGGTCTCCCACCTATGAAAAATAAGTACACCAACAGCATTGAATAATCAATAACATTTATAAATCAGTGATTCTAGCTTTGAAATTTGATTTAAGATTAAATATTGTGAGAAAGTCAATAATATACAGATGTTTTATTAAAGAATGAAAGTTATTGTTTGAGAAATCAAATGGCCATGCAATCTTTACATAAAAATGTACCTGCATACAAAGTGGTTCATTTTATTTGCTGTTTCATATTGTCAAACATTTCATTTGATTTTACAGCAATGTTATTCAAACATCATGTTATGAGTTTCCTAAGTATCCACTTTATGTCGTTTTGTATATTATATAGTTTATCATATTACTTCCAGAAACAAAAATAGGACTGATTTAAAAAAAAATATCAACTGTGAATGGTAAACATGTTAATCAATGAAATTAAGTACTTTGTGTGCCACTAAACAATAAATTTTGGCAAGGATAACTAAAATTCTTTAATGAATAATTTGTTTCAGTTATGCCTGTTATTTTTTATCATGACACTTACGTTGTAACTCTTGTTGATTTAGATAACACATTGTACCATTTCTTTTCTCATTCCTCGGCAGTTCTTATAACATGGGGAAATGAAACAGATAGTTGTCCTTTTTGTCTCGGAGGAAACCTTTTGAGAACATTTTCTCCCCAAAACATTCTTATGACTGTCAACTAGTTGGATAAGTAACAAATTTTCGTCATTTGTTCAATTAGGTTTCCTGTTTCGACTTTTTTTCTGGTTGTAGAGATGCTGATAACATACACTGACACCAGTGACAGCTGACTGATCGATTAATTGATTCAGTACCTACAGGCTACAGCGCATGCAACCTTGACCAATGGCTTTATTGGACAGATAGTTCGATTAACAATAAACATAAATAATGCACTTACCATAGTAAAACACTTGGAAATGTCTGCAACAGAAGCAAAGACATTGCTTGACATCTGTGACAAGTCAAAACAAAAACAAAACAAAAGGGAAATATACCATCTTCTTGTTGTAAACTGGACAAACAGCAAAATGCGACGTCACACTTTAGCCTTTTCGTGCTAAAAATAAACACAGGTTTTCCCCTTGTGACATTTTGTAATCTTTTTTGCCGAGGAGAGTTCTGAAAGTCCTTAGCTCCATTTTTTCTGAGAGTTACTCTTAAAACTTAGCTAAAAGTAAGTCTGAGAATGTTTATAGATAACTCTATGAGCGAACTTTTAACTAAGATCGATTTTAGGAATTCTAAGGCCAAGATTAAGAAAATTCTAAGATTCTGTATAAGTACAGACCCAGATTTTTATGTTCAGTCAATCTTAATTCAATACTCAAAGGCCACAGGCCTATAGTACAATATGTAGTAGTACAATACAGAAGAGTTTTATATACTAGCCACATAAAGAAACTGCATTGTCAAAATATTATCCCAGTTGATAAGTACGATGTCAAAGGTACATATAAACTTTAATGGAGGGATCATGAGACCATAACAAGTCGGGAGAATTTCAATTGAAAAGTCAATCACAATAACGTCACGAGTCCACAAGCGGGACAGGGGTCAAACGACCATGTCACAAGCTCAATAACGGGTATGTCCACCATCGGCATTGAGAACAGCAGTGCATCGACGACGCATAGAGCCTATCAAACGTGCAAGGAAGGCTTGTGGGATGTCACGCCAGATTCTCTCAAGTTCTGTTGCAAGGTCAAGGACGTTATCTGGCGGATGAGGAAGACGGCGTAGACGTCGATCCATCTCGTCCCAAACATACTCTATTGGGGCGAGATCCGGTGAATTTGCAGGCCAAGGCAGTAAGTCATGTTTGTGCCTGTTCGGTCAATGCATTTATTAGAATTATTTCAAGGGGTTAGGTACGTTAGGGTTAGGGCTGAGGGTTTAGGGTTAGGGTTAGGGACCTAATCCAATATAGTAGGTACATGTTTGAGGTTATATATGCTATCTATTATTTCTTCTCTTGATATTGGGGAATCAAGAATCTCTTGCATAAGTTCATGATTTGGATCTTGAACAAAATGTGATGGGTTGTTAAGACTGCCATTCTCCTTATTGCATTCATCATCAATTGCAAACAAGGTTCTAAAATGTTCAAACTAGTCGCTGGTAGGGATATTATTTTTTCCCATCTTTCTATTATTCTAACCTTTTATATCATTCCAAAACTTTTTAGAATTATCGATGTTTTTTTCAATATTGTCTTGCTTTCATTTGTAATAATCAGTGCGTTTCTTTTTATAAAGAGCATTGTATCTATTTCTTGAATATTATACTTATTTATTGATTGTTTATCCTTCCGTTTTCGAAAATTGTCCAATGTTCTACAATGATCGGCCTTGAGCTTTTCGCATTCATAATCATGCCAATTTTTATCATCATATTTTATGTCACTTTAACTATTTTTCATATCTGATGCAGTGAGACAAAGAGCCTTTATAATAAAGTTGATACTTGTATCGACACGTAAAAGCGCTGTCCACAGACATAGTTAAATAGAGGTGCGGATAAAATAACATAGTCTACAACACTTGCACGGTTATAACCAATAAAAGTAAATTCCCCTGTTTGCGAATGAGACCCACATTGCCCATTCATTATGTGAATATTAGAACAGAACATAAATCAAGTAAACTTTTACCAAAGTTGTTTATCACTCTGTTGGCGGAAAAAACGTTTAAGATTACATAGTCTAACAAGAATTCCCAACAGGACTTATCATGATTGTTTGTGAATTCAAATAAATCATCTTCAACAAAGTTGGGATTTGCTCCAGTTCTGGCATTAAAAACTCCACGACAGAGTACATAAACGTTTGGTAAACTGGCCACAATTTCTAGCTGTGACTCTTGAAACAATATTATTCCATTTCTACATTCTGTAGATAACTTGTCCCATGTGGAATCTTCCGGTTGAATATAAAAACACATGCATATCATATTCTAGCCCAAACAGAGTATGGTTAAACAGTAAATAAAGCATTAGGTGTAATTTTAAACCATTTCATGTATCTACAATATTGATTGCGAATCAACACTGCTATCCCACCAGAAGGTCTCCAACAAATAGATATTTTATCTGCATCTTCAGAGATATATTTATAAACATGAAAGTTATTTTCTATGTCTAAATCGTGACACCATGTTTCTATTATGCCAATGATATCGAAACACTTAAGGTACTTTGTGAAGTCACTGTCTATTTGTTTGTTTGCAATCCCCGAAATGTTCCAGAACAAAATATCCACACACTCAGTAATGCATCATCACCCTGACTCTTCCCATGGGGGTGAGTCTCGTCGTCCTGACTCATCCAGGGTGGGTGGATCTTGTTGTCCTGGCTCGTCCTGAGTTGGCGAGTCTTTACGTGATGGCTCCTTCGTGGTCTCACAGTGTCCTCCTTGGGTATATGCATCAGTTTACTACCTTTGTAGTAAAAGCGCATGTTGGGATTGTCAATACGATGTCGGTATAGTTCATTACGCTGGTAATTAGTAAGATTATTTGCTATCCCCACGCCTTGCTCCTTCAACACACTCCTCATCTTGACCGAATGCCACTTGTCTTCCCAGTGGGCCATGATCACAATAGTTGGTCTTGACTCCCTCTTCCCTCTAGGCTGCACCCTTGCATCATTCTCACACTAACATTTTATACGGTGTACTGTAATTGTATGGATGGGTCGTGTTGGTGCATTATTGAATTCTTAAATCTGAAATGCATTACAAGTTTTTTTCAGTCAAAGTAAACTTAGTCTCAGTATTATTTGTTACACTGCTATACTGAGTCTAACAAACCCCTAAAGATCGCGTTAGCTAACCTTTTGAATTGACCAATCAGGACTCAGCTTACCAAATCACGAAAGTTAACATTCGCACATACCGTTTGAACTTTAACCTCGAAAACCCGAACAATTCCGAATTCTATTTTCCACACGATTGCTTTGGAATGTTACACATGGAGGATGCATCATTCACAACAGCGAGTAAACAGTCACTGAAAATAACGTTTTTGTCAATATTCCAGGAAGTCATATTGTGGAAATATAATCTAATAGTAACCATGTCATCTGAAACCCCTAAACGTATATACTGCAGGTCAAATATCTGGGTTTTTTTCCTGATTTTCGTTTGTTGAGAGATCAGAGTCAGCGATCGGGGAAGAGAAAATCCAAAAGCCATTTTGTAAATCCCGCCGAACCCTAAATAGTAGCCGTTATCTGATTGGTTAAATCCGTTCGGCTGTCTCGCATTTGAATAGATGGTCATGGGTTGCTCAAAGGTTAGTTGACGCGACCTTCTACTAGGGTTTGTTAGACTCAGTATAGCAGTGCAACAAATAATACTGAGACTAATTTTACTTAGACTGAACTTTATTCGTTTGGCAACTCAAGCAAGACTCCAAACTAAGTAGGACTTTGCCAAAAAAGACACCCAACAATACACCAATCCTTGCCAAAATGAGTTATTATGTTGAGTCCGTCCTTTGAATGAGTGCGAAACAAAAAAATCGGTTTAATGAGAAAAACCTGAAGCACTCAGTAAAATTTGTTGCGTCTTTCAATTTTAGCAAACAAGCAATGTCCACATGTTTTGATTTTTTTGTTTTTGTAAATGCATGGTGTCAGCAACTTTGCCTATTATCTAAACATTCAATCAAGCAGCAAATCATATATGATGTGTGCATTGCAGGTTCAGGTTTAGGATTCAGAAACAAAATTACAAGTATTCTAGTGTTAGTATTCTTGAGACATCAGGTGTTCATTGCATGAGCAATTGAAGAACATGTCACTAGCTTATTAAAGACTGTCTCAACCACAAGCCGTTAGAGTATTTACAATGTTAGAGTGACACAACCTGTCTTGTTATAGCGATAGCAAGCACTGCCATCCAAATATGTTTGATATCCGAAAACATAATGATATGAAAATGTATAAGGCACTGTCCAACTGATCATAATGATTAAAACACTGTTCCTTGTTGAAGTGTCCAGTTGTGTTGTTTCAGGTTGAAAATTCAGATTTACAGTGTTAGCTAAACTAAAAAAAACTGTTCAGTCAGTGTTGAAGTGTTCAGTTGAGTTGTTAATAAACATTGAGATTTAGTATTAGTTAGAGTTTCTTATTTTGTAATCTTTACAAATTCCTTTTACATTGATGTTAACTGTTTAATAAATGTGTTGAACAGACCATGACTTGGTTTCTCTTGTTCAAATTGAAACTGTATTGAAAGCTGAGAAAGTAAGCAAACTCATACAAGTAAATACAACAGTTTGACATTACCCACAAAATGGCCTGCCTATTTGTGGACAGATGGGCCATGGGTCCACTGTTTAGAAGGGCTAGAATGAACACTGGTTACATTCACAGATCAAATCATTTGCATAGACTCTGTTCTCTGAGGGGCAGTAGTTCTGCATAAAATCCTTTCAAGTTTGAGAAATGTTGGCTTTATGTTTACACCAGTGAGTTATGTTTGTAGCCACATTAAAACAGAATGGTGTTTACAGTGAGTGTATTCTGCTTTTCCATTTCGTTACAGGCCGCGTACCAGTGCCAGACATGAGGTGGGATCATCTAGTTGAGCACTACAAGCCAGTCAGGTATGCATTTTGTGTATCTGATGGACACATGACTTAATCCATGCTTTTTCATTTGATTGCAAAATATTTTTTTGTTTAGCAGCATTAAGTAAAGAAATAAAAATGTAGAATAGTTTGCAGAGCAGAGTTGATATTTGCAACTTTGATTTTATTATCCCCTTCCATATAGTGGGGTTGTAAGAACAGCAGTAGTCCCTCCACCTGTCTGCAACACAATGGCTGTCAAATTTCTCAAAAACTGTTCAAATGAGTAAATATGGTTTGACACACTTTTCTGATATATTCCACCTATGTCACAAAGGGTGACATCTGAATTCAGACAATAGTTATCATTGTGTATAATTATGAGAATACAATCTCTATTACATCATTGCTATTTTTTCCCGTTTTGTCTGTCAGTAACACAATTTATAATATATTTTGTGGGTTTAGATTTTCAACAGACATCCTTTTGCCTGCCAACAGATCAGATATTTTGTGAATGAAAAGTCTGTGAATGAAATGTAACTGCACATATGCAAGATGGGAAAATGTCATATGTTTCACCCCATAATCATGATTAACTAAATGCAGATAAGGGAGGTGTCAGGGACCTCTTCTTGGTATAACACAGGTAGTATTCTAACTATTGTTTGATAATTCCTTCAAATACCCAAGAGGGAAAGGTGGGATCTGGATTAACTCATTAAGGCCGAGAGAGACGCATATATGGGGCAAATTAATCAGCTCCTCACAGCGAGTGACGTGTTTATGGGGCAGGTAATTAGCAGTTTCTCACAGCGAGAGCCACATACAGTAGTCAACAGAAAGCACCTCTTATTCAGCTAGAGAAGCACATGTGTGTTGTGCTTTTAAAAATCGCACTGTACCTATTATTTCAACCAATTTAGCAGTACTGAGCAAATGTTAGCTTTTCTTACGAGAGATCCCACCTTTAGTATCAATCAGAAGAAGTATTTAAAGTGTTTTGATAACAATTGCTAATCATTATCATAGGCTTGTACAGCGTTTAGCAAATGAATGCATGTCGGCGAGAAAGGGAATTATGATGTTTTTACAGAGGTAAGTGCCTGGTACTCTTCCTTGGGAATGGATACTAAAATACTGTGAGGCACCTTGATTGAATTAGATGTAATGGTTTAGAGGTTACTAAAGATTATATTTCCTTCAACTACCTAATAAATAGGAAACAATATCTGAAATTTCAAGGACATACAAAGAATTCAAACACAATAGAATAGTTTGAATTTACTTTTTAGGCATCATTCCGCTATCATGTTTCATATACTGAAACATAACGATATAAACACAAGTAATTATACATCCAAGCTCGAATAGATTAAACATAATTGAACTTACTAATTTGAAGTTTACTGAATTGTAACTAGTTGTTTTCCATAATCTAAAGTTCGTAATGTTACCTAAGCTTAATATAAAGTGATAAGTCACTTTGCATCGAATACATATATACATGTCAGTGTTATTACAACAATGAAATCTTTTACTACGTTTGTTACAAAAGACAGTAAGTTGGTAATTCAAAACATTGTCACACATGGACAGAAGTAATATCATAAGTTATTACATGTAAGCCATACAAAGGTATTTCAAGCATTTTGTTCAAGCTGTTGAAAGTTTCATGTTGATTTGAATTGTCAGTTTTCTATGCAATTTACATGAGCATTCTGTAAAACGCTTGTATTTGATCTGTGTAATTATCAAATCCGTGCAATTATCACGCGTGTATCAATCAACTCAGTCTCTATTGATCCATCGCCAATAAAAGCTGGATAGTATATCAGTTACGGTATCGATACACATGCGTATAATCATTCAAGCAGATTACAGTAATGAGATAATTGAACGCCTCTTTCGACCTTGAAATAACAGCCTCCGTAGAATGCATATGTAGTTACGCCCTTGTTGAAAGGTTTGTCCCGTGACAAGTGTAAAATAAACAGATGCGCTGTTGTATCATTGGACATCTTGCTTTATGGAGTCACCTCTCTCTGTGATGTTTATACATGCATGCACATCTGTAATCTTATGAACCTCGTTTGCATTCAGTAAAGATATAGGCACGCTTCCACCTTCATAAATATTGGGGTGGGGTGTCAACTGCAAGTTTATACACTATAAAAATCAGTATAGTGTCACCTCGTGAATTCTGTAATGCGTGTACTCTAGTTTGGATAGTCATACATTATCAAGGTGAGGATTATATTTACATGTACAGCAAACCATTATGTTTTATGTACTAGTTGTGTGCATAAAATGTATATGAAAATAAATACTACCTCTACTCAGTGGTTGGATTTCAATCGCTTTGTTTTACTTATCGAAAAACACTAAAATGAGGACAAATAAACTCGCCAAAGTGACTATCTACTCCTATTTGTCTTATGTGTATATTTCATACATCGTTACCAGTGTGTATGTTTACAATACACAAACTGTTACATGATAGCTTGAGTTGATAAAGCCGAATCCCAGCATATCGACTGGTCAAGGATATAGCCAATAATCAATCTCTATCCAAGCTGTTAAGTGACCAAATGTGCTCTTCAGAAATTTCGCCCACTCCCCATCACCTGTCCTTTCCTCTGTGACAGGTATCTCATGATACGATTGGTCGCAGATAACATATGATCAGCCACTCCATTGAACAGTTGAGATACCGAATGTTCTATTCGGGAAATTTGATGACGCCCTATCACGTGACTCTTTGTTTTATGCCTATGCAAGGAATATGTAGTATACATTTTGTATATGTATGTTTGTATGGTCACATATGTTTTCTGCATTAAATCTGTATGAAATAAAGTGCAATGCTCTGAATGTGCTTTGTGCTAGTCACAGACTAGCGTTATAGTATTTTCATTGAAATAATTCGAAAACACTAGAAATGTATCGGCAAATCCGCTATTTTCGTCGAAGATTATAAAGTATGAAAGTAAATTCTTCTTTACAGTATGTCATTGTCATAGATGTTTTGTAAATTTAAACCTCACACAATGATATAAGAGAGAGAATTTGTTAACGTGTGTCTCATCTGTTACATACAAAGAATACATGTGTATGCATATTGTGATAAAATATAAATGTACAAGCCGACAAAAGGTCTACAAGAGAATTTTGCAATAAAATTACATAAAGCTTGCAATACACGACATGTATTCACACCTGATTTTTTTCAACATTTATCTTTACGACACAATTAAACAATCAGGACTTGTTTGTATGACTAGACAGTTTCCTGTGATCCCCGAAACCTGCCAGGGAAATCAGGTGTGACTAGCACTAATTAGTCTCGGCACAGAGAGTGGGCAATCAGGAGGGCTTCCAGGTGTTGAGTTGTGATGGGGCTTAATGAGTTAAAGCATCCCTAGATAGTTGGCAGCAGTGTAGAAGGCATCACACTTGTCAGTGGGTGTTCGAGTCACAATTAATCATCAAGAATATGGAGAAACTACTAGGATAATTTTTAAATCAGTCTCTTACTGAGCTGTAAATGAGCTTCCAAAACACATGCATTATGATGTCTAAATATAGCTGTGAGCAGCGTATGTCGGGCTTCATGGTCCTTTCTCCCCAAAGTGCTTGATTAGCCATTTAGAAATTCTTCAGTTTGGCTTTTTTTCTTCTTTGCAAGTTTTGCAAACGATTATCCTTTCAATAGTCAAATTTCAATAGTCAAATTGTGTGCTGTATTACAACAGGAAGCGAAAACCCTTTTCACATCCATAAGGAATCTCTGCTAACAGCAGAGTCGATTGTGAAATGGTATGTCTTGTATGGATCATGTCACTTCCAGTATTGGGAAATGCTTCCTTCATTAACTTTGAAATGGCATTAACAGCATCCTAGCTTAGATGCATACGATTGGGTACTCTGGTTTGGATAATGACACTTGTGGCTTTTGAAACAGATGTTGACTTTATTAGACTTTATTAGAAAGTATAACGGTTGAAGGTTCCATTGCAACTTAGTCATTTGTACTAACTGAATGGCTGACATTACCACAGGTTTTGACATGTTTGTGCTGCTGTCAAAAGCTTTTCAACTGGAAGTGCTGGAAATCTTGTAAGCTTGGATCTGTTTAGTACAAAGCTTATTTTCTCAGATTTAAAGGAGAATACGAGTGAATTGCAATAATTTGCTGGGTGAAAGATGAAGTCATCAGAAACATATTCCCAAATTTTCAATTAAAAATTATGTATAATTATGTTTTAATATCGAAAACAGTTTCTGTAAATCTCAGCTTCGGCCATTATGCATATTTCGCTGGAACCCACGTGACCTTTCCGCTCGTGACGTCAAATGTGCCTGGAGTCCGCCATATTGCCAAAGACCAAGCGCTACAGTAGTACAAATCGTGTTGAAAAGTTTCTGTCGTTCTTTTAAATGGTACGATGGTGTATTGCGTTGCCTGGGGATGCACGGCATCATCGAACATGGGAAAGAACCACCATTTCTTCCGTTTTCCAAGTAAAATGACAGATTTCGGCAAGAGAAATGCGCCGATCATTCCGAGTCGGACGCATATGAAAGAGACATGCACGCATGGGGTATGGAAATCCCCAAGCTAGGCTGAAGAAGCTAAAAGTATCCACGAGATTCATTTATACTCCATTATTCCCTGTAACAACTTACTGTCAGTGGTATTTTGAACAAGTCCGGTTGCCAGTCGAATTGCCCCCGCTACAAAATGACCCAGCAAATTTGGTCAAATTGCCCCAGCAGGGTAGTCAAAATGCCCCATTTTATTTAAAATGAATAAATATAGGCCATAAATGCATAGTTTTCAGAAATATTACTTCCTAATAACTTTTATATGAAGAACATAATATCATAATAAGTTGACAAAAACTATGCATTTACGGCATCTATTCAATCATTATAAATAAATTTGAACAAATTAGAATGAATGACAAAATTTGCTGGGGCATTTTGTAGCTGGGGCAATTCGACTGGTACACATGAGATATATTATCAAAATCAGTAAGTGATTTCACATGAGCTTGAAAATGTTCCGCTATAACGTTCTTTTCGGTTTGGAGCACTAAATGATGCAGTCAACTCGAAACATTGCCGAATACAACGGCAAATCATGAAGTACTTGTTGCTTTCATTGTTTTCCATTTTGTCCAATTACGCACGTCGGCATCAGACTCGCTATTTGTCAGTAGTGTGTGCCGTGAAAGTTGTTCTGTATTCTCATTGGCTGACAAGATGTCATTCTAAGGCTATGACCGAGTACCATGACTATTTCCATAACCAAACAATGGGGAAACATACGTTGTCCTGACTAGTATTTTATAATTCACCAGTTTTCGGGGAATAACTTATCTGCGTCGCGAATATTATCTCTGCTCAA